AAAAAAAAAAAAAAAAAGGAAAAGGAGGACCCTTTTATGATTTCTGAAGCAAAATTAATGAAATATGAGATAAATCACTTTCCTCAAATGAATTTTGTAAGCCTCTTTTAGAATGAGTTATCTGCTTCACACATCTTCTTTCTAACTTTTTTCTTTTTTTATAGGATTAGGTCGAAGAGCTGAAGACCTCTCTGCTGAGCAACATCGACTTGCTGTGAAGTAAGTTTTCACAGTATGTTCTCTAGGCCTTGGTGTATCAGTGTCCAGAAATCCCCCTCTTTTCAGTATCTGCATATTCACTGCATTATATGGAGGTAATACTGTCTGTTTAATGAATCTGCTGTTGATGGATACTTGGGGTTGTCCGTCAGTCTGTGGCTTTTACAAGTCAGTGATGCATGACCCTGTTCCTTGGTCATTTTAAACAAGTTTGGGTATAATGGTGGGACAGATTCCCGGAAGTGGGGTTGCTGGGCCGGAGAGTAAATGGATCTGTAGTTTTGTTTTGCAAGATTCTCCTTCACGGAGATTGTTATGTCCGTTATTACCGAGTTATTTTTACGGGGCCTGTGTCAGAGGGTCCTCAAGAAAGAGTTGTCGGTGCCCGTCAGTAGGATTAAATGCTGGTACGAAACGGACTCAAAGGGCTGGACAGAGGACTGGGGGCCGGGGGATGGGAGGCAGGTGGCAGGAAGCAGGCTGAAGACAGATTGTGGCTGGTGTGGGTGTTGGAGAGGAAGGGAGACTAACGGAGGAGAGTAGCATTGATGGGGAGTGGAAAGAGCCCGTGGCGTAGCACATCGGGGAAGGTGGTGCAGCCATAGTGGTGGAGGGTTCCTGCCAGAGACTTGTAGGAGGCAGGATAAGGAAGAGAGGGTCCTGGGTGGTCAGGAGACGGAGTGCCCCATTTTCACACGAAGGGATCGGGACTTGGAAGAAATGGAGACCCATTGCAAGAGACTAATGAATCCAACTCTTTGGTCAGTGTTATGAGGGCGTAAGTGCTGTAGGGTATATTCCAGTGACGGGTTACCAGGGGCATTTTAGGGAGCCTTGTCCCCACAATACCATCCTGCCCTTTTAAATGCCATTAAAACACTACCCAGAACTGGTCTCTACAGAATTGTTTCCTGCCGCTACTTCTGTCTGTTGTTCAGGACCTCGTGCCTGGATGCCAGAGCAGACAAGAGGCTGCACAGGGGTGGTTTTGTGTGTCCTCTTCTAGTGGAAACTGGTTCCACCCATCATTTGTTTTGTATTTATTTTGGCAGTCGGGAGGGAGTTTTCCCATTTCAGTGCATCTCGAACAGCTAACATTAGGTCAGGTTCCCACCCTGCCTTATGTTTATTACCTTCCTTTTTCTCTTGTTAGGCGACCAAGGGTGATGAGAAAGCGCATTTCCCAGCCTCAGAGCCTCCTTTACCCTGGACCTCACCCTCCATGTCCATAGCCGCAGCCGGCCAGCAGAGGGCGCCACGGAGCGCTGCGCCTTCCCAGAGCCACTCCCCAGTTTAACCTGCCCTTTCAAACCAGGTTTCTAGCTTTGGTGGATTTTTAGAGAAACGGAACCCAGAAAGACCACCGCACGTCTGGTAATCTACAAAGACAACCCCTGTGTTTAGGATTGGCCTACTTGCGGATCTAAAAGAAAAATCCAAAGACCAAAGACTTCAACTTGTTGTTTATTTTCACAGGGTAAAGCCCTCCTTTTTGCAATACTTAAGCTATCTTCTCAACTTCATGAGTGTCATAGCTGGCCCTTGCAACAATTTCAAGGATTACATAGCCTTTATTGAGGGGAGACATACGCACATGAAGTTGCTGGAAGTGAACTGGAAGCAGAGAGGTTTCCAGAGCCTGCCAGAGCCTTCTCCCACTGTAAGTTTTTAGTGCCGAGAGTGTTTACGCAGAGCTCCAGAAAAATAGAGCTCTGCTTCCAGGGCTGACTCTCACTGGTAATTGTTCTAATTAAAAAGCCAAACAGTTCACCAAAAAGCGTGGCCAATAACCCCCCCCCCCACCACCCCTATGCACTGAAAATACTGGTATTGGTATTTATTTACCGCAGTTTTCCATGTTGGAACACCACATGTTTATTGCACAGAGGAGCTCATTGGCTGGAAATATTAAGGCAATTCGTCCATTAGTCAGCCAATATTTAATGCTTACAGTGTGCTCGGCCCTGTGCTAGTTAACACGTTCGGATTTATGAGTGTTTTGTCTTTAGGGATAGAAATTCATATCCAGCCCAAAGATAATATCGGGAAAGGGGGGATGGGAAGGGGTGGGAACCAGAATAAATGCGATTTTTATTTCAGAGCCCACTTCTTATGTGGGAAACCAGTTTTACGTGGGCATGCTTAAAGCTTGGTTTTATTGACTTCGAGAGAGTTTAAGATGGCTTTTTAAAAAATATTTTCATTTTAATTTGCATTTTGCTCATTTCAAAGTGGTCAACAATAGGATCGCTTCTTGAACTTTACAGAAACGCTGCATTTATTCAGATCACATGGCCTGTATTTAAGGGACGTTTGTAATTAGCTGAAGGAATAGGGAACATTGGAAAGAGGAGAAAACCGGGAGATTGGAGTTAAATATTTTGTAAATGCTACAACCTAGGCAAAGTTAATTATTTGAAAATTTAAGTGACTTCTGGAGCATGCGTTTTCAGAGAGTTTCGGTGCTGTCGGGTCTTTGACAGTTTATGGTCTGTCCACTGTCTCGTCTTTTGCTGCGGCATCAAAACAACATAGCAGTGAGGTCACCGTGGCCACGAGACATCAGGGTGCCCGCGGGTGTTTCTTGGCAGGGTCTGGCACAGTACTGCTTCTATGTTGCACGTGCTCGTAGAGAATATTCTCAGAGAGTCTTAACATCACTCTCCAGGGAGCCTCTTGCATGTTTGTGCATGGAGAGCATGAAGCAGGGAGGTGGTATTTTGGCTGAAGACACATTGGTGGGAGAGGGTGGCCCTCACGAGCTGGTGCTTCCCCAGTGTGTTGGCATCATCGTGGCTAAGTGTGGCGTGCACTCGACTGGGAGCCAGGCGTCGTTGGATGCCTTGCAGACACTCACTCACCTAACCCTCAAGCTGAGGGAGGTGCTGTTGCCGTCCTGCTGTCCCCATATTACAAAGAGAAAGTGGCCCCCTTTTGTTTTTTTTTTTTTTAAGTTGGGAACCAGAATCCTATTGATGTTCATTGACATTGCGTGGAATGTCAGGGAAACTGAGCAGAAATCACTTGGTCCAGAGGCATTTAAAACACTAGCACATCATGGGGCGCCTGGATGGCTCAGTCGGTTAAGCAACCCACTTCGGCTCAGGTCATGATCTCACGGTTTTTGAGTTTGAGCCCTGCATCGGGCTCTGTGCTGACAGCCCAGAGCCTGGAGCCCGCTTCGGACTCTGGGTCTCCCTTTCTCTCTGCCCCTCCCCAACTCATGCTGTCTCTCAAAAATAAATAAACATCAAAAAAGCCAAAAAACCACTAGCACATCTCAAGGCCAGAGCAGACCACATGTAAACCATCCTGGAAGGCTTCCTAAAGCTTTCCATTACCTGCTCACGTCCTGGCTCAGGCCCTTGAAAACTGGCACAGAATCCTTCCTACCTAAGCCTCTGTCCTTGTGGTGACTGAAACCCATTTCCTCGGCTCTGCTGGTGACAGAAGTGGAAGACAAGTGAAATGGTTCTTTTTGATGGAAGACTGCCACCCTATAATGTTATTTCCCTTATGTTTTGGGTAATAAGACGCCTACCTTTTATTGGCAGAATGTGCTGGTAATCATGGTCTTCCATTTTAGATACATTCAATCCTCAAGGGTCAGAGGTATGTTCTTTCTTCACTTGTAGCCCATATGCCCAGCATCCAATTTGTGTCCTAGGCGTGCCTCTCCTTCTAGGGCCTATTGCCAAAGCGGCTCTTGGAACAGCTTTGTTCTTAATGTGCCCTTGCTCAAATTGTTTTTCTTCATACTGGAATCTTGAATGGTTACACCGATTCTTTTCCACATTTTCAGGGAGCTGTGATCCGCAAGTTGTACATGACCTTGGTGTCTCTCCTTCTGTTTTTGACACTCACGAAGGCCTTCCCTGTCACCTGCCTGGTTGATGACTGGTTTGTTCATAAAGCGAACTTTCTGACTCGACTGTGCTACTTGTATATCGTCATGCAAGCCTCGAAGCCCAAGTATTACTTTGCCTGGACGTTAGGTATGTTCGATGGAATGGCCCTGCATGACAGAACAGCATTTGGGATCACCTAATCAAAACAGAGTTCAATACGTAATGGGGGTGGCTGAGCCAGTATCATTTTGTATTTTATCGCGCAGCACTTCTGTCTCCTGCCATCCATAAACTCAATCACCCATGATAAGAGAAAAGCAATCCTGCCTCTCGTTTAAACTCAATGCTATTAACAGATGTCCAAATCTGGAAGCTTCCTCCACCAGTCAGAACTGGCCTTCAGTACGGCGGAAAGTTAGGGAAAAATTCCAGAATGAGCTGGTCATCGGGCCATTTTTCTGGGTTGTACATAATACGGGATACATGCTTGAATAATTTACCGATGCACATCCTGATTGAGGTTATGCTGCTTTAATTGTTGGTTAAGATATTTTTCAAGTGATTTTTTTTTTTTAAGGTAGAAAATTCAACTTACTTTGATTTTTCTCTCTTTCCTTTCAAACACTTTTAGACTGGAAAAGTTTAAAGCTTTGCTGGAGTGAGCCGTGAGTCCTTCTATTTACTTACCAGGCGTGGTAAGGGATTTTGATAAGGCACGGCAGCTGTGTCTAGTTCACATTTGGAACCCTTTCAGGAATGGAAATTTGACTTCTTAGCTGAGGGTGACCTGGGGCTTGATGTCAGGGAGCGGTGATTTGGTTTATTAAGCGAAACAGATGATTAAACTCAGTGCCTGGTGCTTCGCCCATATTCCGTGAGTGAAGGCATAGCACTTAATTGAGTTCCTTTTTTCTCATTTCATGCTCCCAAGTTTTTATCTCCAAATTAAAGCTGGTAGCTACTGAATTTTTATTTTTTGTGGTAAAATAGACATAATGTAGAATTTATCATTTTAACCATCTCTATGCGTCCAATAGACTGGAATTAAGTAAATACACGGTGTTGGGCGACCATCACCACCATCTGTCTCCAGGATGTTTTCCGTCACCCCAAACAGGAATGCTGTACCCGTTAGAAAAAGTAATATTCTCCTCATTCCTCCCTCTCCCCGGCCCCTGGTCTACATGATTTTCATAGGTCGAGATGTTCAGGGATAAGTTCAGTCCGGTGCAGTATTGATGTAATACTTGGCCAGAAAGATCTGACTTAAGGCTCTTAAACAAGTTTGCAGCATGGGAAATTGTGTCTGTCCTATTTGGTTACTTCAGGGAGTTTTTGTCGAGGACCGGGTGCTGTGCTCGGGGGAACGCAAAGCGGGGACAAGAGCTCTGGTCTGTGGTCAAGATGGTTACGTTGTATGGGCACAGAATTGTGCACCCCATCCAGGCAGGACACAGAGAGAGCTGTCCCCAGGCGAGGAGTACAGAGGGGACGAGGAATATGGGCTGGGCTTCAAAAGTCCTATTCCTCTTTCTGTAGTCGTTTGATTACTTGAGAAGGAGAATTTCTTGTAGGTAGGCGTGACGCATACTATGGTGAACCCTGCTCGGCGTACCAGGCTTAGTTTTCTACGTGAATTACTTAACGTCTTCACTCTGCTCTAACCTGCGGGTGCGTCTGTGTGTGTGTGCACGTGGGCGTGTAAGAGAATGAGTGAGAGAGGAAGAGCTAATACTCTTTCACGCCCTCTTCTGCCTTTTGCTTGTTCACTTACTTTCCTTTTCTCTCTCCTCTCCCTACTTTTCCCTCTCCCGTATTCTGTATCCTAGGGCTTACGGGCTGGCTTCTGGACTAAATGAGCTCCTGCTTTAGGAGGAAAGAAAGGCCAGTCCGTGGCCTCATAGGGAAAGTCTAACACGAGGTGGGTTGTGCTGGTGGGGCTGAGGGTGGGGAGGGGGTTCTAGGGAATGGGGTGTCATTCTGCCCTTTCGGGAGTGCCCCAGATACTGGGAGTATAGAAGTAATCTTTCCCGTGGGTAGCTTTTTCTTTGGACTTGGCTCTTTTCTATACCCTCTTCCCTTTATCTGGTTTTGATAGCTTCAGTAGAAACACTTCATTAATTTGTATGGCCTCAATTTGAACCTTGTTAGTTTAGATTGCTTGGGCTGGTCTGAAATTAACCTTTGTGTTACGAATAAAGAAGCAATGAAGAGTGTAACAGGGAATGCTTAAACTGCTTTACCAAATAATTGTTTTATCCAGCTCCTTAAAACATCATTTACATATAATTGATGCACTAATTATACGTGATTATAAATTTAATCCTTAATGCTGGCCTCTTGATGGGTCTCAGCTGAGCTGCACCGTGTTAGCCTCGTTTTCTCGTTACTGTTTACAGTGAAATAATTAAAGCTGTTTTCTTTGGACTTCATGTACGATCCTGGTTGTTTTTCCCTTGCTAATTAGTACTAATTAGCAAGACTCAACTTCAGCCCAGGCTGTGTTTCAAGGATCACGACCTCCAAAATATGGGTATCCAACTTATCTATGATCATACAGTAGGCAATACAAGTAAAGCCAGTTTGGGGCTGGTGAATTTAGCACCCACCTCTGCTCGGAGACAAAAACAAGTCTTTGGTTAAGAGGAGGCGGAATGCACTAGGGGGACCCGGTACGTCCCCATCCTCTATAGAGACGTAGCATCCAAGAGTCGCTATTTCTAGTCCTTCATTTATCTTGGCGGGGTGGCTCGTAGCCGCTCAGGCTGTGGGATCAGAATTCCTTCTAGCATTCGGAGTCTGGCATTGTTGACCACCTGCGTGATGAGAATGTTAGCATCACTAAGCCTGGGCAAGACGGACACTGTGGTAACAGCTAACATTTCTTGAGCGCCCACAGGCAAGGCACCGTGCTGTGCGCTCACTCATATCTCATTTAAGTCTTTCCACATGGCTTTAAATTCGATACCATTCTTCTATCCAATTTCCTCTCAAGGGAATGGGTGTCTAGATGTCAGACAACTCTCCCGAGGCCATATGCTCAGGGTGTTGCTCGATGGGGGGCAGGAAGCCAGGGGCTCTGCCTCCGGAGCTCACCCTTGCCACTGTCTTCGCACCGCCAGGAACACTGACTGAGAACACCTGTAGAGAGAGAGCTTTCTACAATCCTGGAAAGGTAGTGAGAACCAGAAAGAGAAGAAGTTGTTAATCTGCGTTTTAGATGAGGCCGGAGTGGGGGGAAGGAGCTGAGTGAGGGGCTGCCTTGCGGGTCCCAGCCCTTGTTTTAGTCTCCAACACCGACCCCAACTGCCCCTCTTCTCTTTGTCTTGTCGTTCAGTGTCTTCCCGCACGTTTAAACTGGCACACCCAGTCGTTTCTTAACTGGCACACCCTTGCTTTGTTGTTCTTCTCCTTGTCCGCTGAGTATCCATCCAGTCAGCTTGGGAGAATGACCTATCAGCGCTCAGTCCTTCTCTTCCCTCCTTCTAAAAGAAGCCAGATCATTTCCCAGTGAAGCCAAACATAGTCACCCGGCTAGAGGACCAACCTGGAGGTGGTAAAGCAGTCATCAGCCCTGCCAAAAGGAAAGGAGACGAACATAGAACGGGCTGTTTTTCTTTAGAGTAACCCTTCAGAGGTCACTCCGGAGCTGGCCCTGAACTCCTGTAGAAAAGAATGAGTAGAGCTACAAGAAAGATTTTTCTAAGATCTCCCCAGATCTTAAGATGGCGCTGTGATTGATTTTTTATTTTAACTTCAGTGGAGTTAACATACAGCGTTGTATTTGGTTTCAGGTGTGTGATATAGTGATTCCACACTTCCATACATCAGCAAGTGCCCTCCTTAATCTCCAGACCCTTTTTCACCCATCCCTCTATGCACCTCCCTTCTGGTAACCATCAGTTTGTTCTCTAGAGTTAAGAGTACGTTTCTTGGTTTGTGTTTTTCCCCTCTTTGCTCATTTGTTTTGTTTTTTAAACACATATGAGCGAAGTCATATGGTACTTGTCTTTCTCTGACTTATTTCACTTAGCATGATACTCTCTAGTTCTATCCATATTGTTACAAATGGCAAGGTTTCATTTTTATGGATAAATCATATTCCATTGTGTGTATGTGTGTATACATACACACACACATACCACATCTTTATCTATTCATCAATGATGAATACTGGGACTGTGTCCATAGTTTGGCTATGGTAAATAATGCTGTATCTCATTGAAGCAGTATTCTTGTATTTTTTGGGTAAATAGTAGTGAAATTTCTGGATCATAGGGTAGGCCTTTTTCAAAACTTTTTAAGGAACCTCCATACTGTTTTCCATAGTGGCTGCACCAGTTTGCATTCCCACCAGGAGTCTACGAGGATTCCTTTCTCTCCACATCCTTGCCAACTCTTGGTGTTTGTTGTATTTTTTAACCGCTCTGACAAGTAATAAGGTGATAGATATCTCATTATAGTGTTGATTTGCATTTCCCTGATGAGTGATGTTGAGCATCTTTCCATGTGTCTGTTGGCCATCTAGATGTTGTCTTTGGAGAAATATCTGTGTCTTCTGCCCATTTTTTATCTGGACTATTATGGGGGGGGGGGGCGGGGTGTTGAAGTTTCTTTTTTTAAAGAAAATAGTCTGACAGAATTGAACTAAGTGAAAAGAGAAGATCAGCCTCTTGGTCGGCATCTACCTTGATTTCATCAGGTCTCTATCTGATTACAAAATCGCATAATTAAGGAATCCGAAATGTTGCACTCACCGCAGGGGGACATCTTCTTACCGTTCAGTGAAGTGAAATAAAGATGGAAACGGGCATTTTCTCAGGCTGACTTTGTGGGTAGGACGCTTTGGTAATGGGGTCCACGTGTGGTCTCCGTGGCTGCTGGCCCCAGGTTCATGTCTCTCTGTCTCAGCTCTTTGTCTTGTGTTCTGAGCTTTTCTAACTGTATCTCAGCAGCTCTGGCTGAAACCTATTGGCATGTCACCCTGAATGTGTCCAGAATGAGCTCCGGTTTCTCTTTCAGAACTAACGCTATCAGTTCACGTTGTGCCATCTTGAATGACAACTCTCGGGCCTGAGTCCCCTGGGTCCTCGGTTTCTTCTGGCCTCTGCTTCTGAGCTTAGATGTGTGTTTACCTTCTTCCCTGTCTCCCCTTCTATCAAGTTGGTCACTAAATCCTTGCTGCTTTGTTCTGATTCATTTCTCTTTTACTTCCATTTTGTGTTCTGTGAGCGTCTAGTGCCTTCTTATTATTCGCAGGTGCTCACTAAATGCTAGCGAATGAATAAAAATGAGTCCGTGAACGTTAAGGCCACCAAAGAACCACTGATGTTTCTGTGATTTATGAAGGTACCAGGTCCTTTAAATTGTGTTGGTTTCTTTCCCAAAGGAGAGACCACTGCCTCTCTCTCAATCTTAAAGCTAGACAGACATTTAATATCTTATAAAGCAGCAACGTGACTTTTGTTCCATATCCTAATGTGTTGTTTTAAAAACCATAGCTGATGCAGTGAATAATGCAGCGGGCTTTGGGTTCAGCGGAGTGGATAAGAATGGAAATTTCTGTTGGGATCTGCTTTCTAACCTAAACATCTGGAAAATTGAGGTGAGTCTATTATGCTTTTGCATCAAGCTTCCGTCGCAAATAGAGCAAATGATTTGCTTTGAGTGTGGTGTCCCTGGAAGTTCTTCCTCAGAGTGTCCGAGGGATCAGGGAATTCTAAGTCGAGCAGCCCCTTGGACTTTTTTTTTTTTTTTTTTAAGATAACCTACTTTCTTGACAGTTTGCATGGCTCAAGGAATGACGTGTAGAAATCTGAAAAGGAACCAGGAAAATCGTTTTGTTGTTTACAGTCCTGTTCTTTCTACTAGAAAGTACAGATGTCGTCTTCTCTCATTTCACATTCTGCTTTCTTCAGTCAAGAATACAGACTGGAAGTTCCTGCGTTTAGGTTGTTGTGTGGCAGGCATTCTCTGTGGTTCCTTTTGAAACATTTCTAATCCATTTGCTTTTAAGAAGCGTTGTCATGGCACATGGCTTTTAGGCCACTCGAATCAGCGTGGGTTTTTTGTTGTTGTTTGTTTGTTTGTTTTTGGTCTTTCCCTGGCTCTGTTCTTGGATCACGGTTCGGTTCTCGACATGTCCTTATCTTCAGAGGTGGTCTTTTTGGGGCCATGAGATTCCTGGTTTTCCTGGCATTGTGTGAGCGGTCAGAGCAGCCTTTCCTCCTGGCTGCTGAGTGGGAGTAAGGACTCGGTTCTCGACCTACAGAAGGGTTGGTCCTCTAGCCGGGTGACTCATATTTGCTGTCGGTTCTGGGTTCCCACCCACCACAGGGCAGGCAGGGTGCCACGGGAGAGTCTGAGCAGAAGAGGATGTGCGTGTAGAGCACGAAACCAGGGATGTGGAGACCGACCGCCTGCTCCCTGTTAGGTGGACACCAGGCCAAAAGGGGACATGGCCGATGTTCTCCACCTTCTTAATGCCCGAGGCTTCTCTTCTTCTTAATGGACAAGCAGCAGCCTCCAGTACGACCTTTGTCATGCGTGGAAAAGCAGTGTAGATCATCTACAAGCTTCCCATTTCTATACAGATGACGTCCGAGAGAGTTGCATCGGGACTCCATTCCCTTTTCCCACTCAAGTTCTTGGCTTCCTCAAAAATCTTGGATCACCGCTGGTTGCCTTGGGGTGCTACGGGTGCACGTCCTTTACGGCAGCTCCCTTTGGCCTGCTCACCAGTCCCCTCAGCCGTATGCCCAAAACACAGCCCTCCTGTTGTGGGTGTGTGGTCAGGGTGAAGCGCTAAGTTGTTAAGTCACATCTTTATTAGAAAAGAAAACCAGAAAGCAGAAGTTTGCATTCTCAGTAGAGTTGATCTAGAGCAAAGAGCTGAAGAAACCCAAGGAAGTCTGATTTAGTTAAGGTACTTCGAAGCTGTACATATAGCGTTGTATTAGCCAAAGACAACATAAAGAAAACCCCTTAGGGCTTTGAATTAAAAAGTTATAATATCTACTTATGTATTTAATTTTCTGTCTAATCTATCTACCTACCTACTATCTCTCACCTTCCCTCCAAACATACTACATTAGGCCAATGTATGGCCCAAGATGTCCTTAGGGCTGGCATAGAAAAAAGTGCCACTTATACTCTGCCTTTATTAGGAATTCTGGTTTTTTGTTTTGTTTTAAAGTAGGCGTCATGATGCGGGCTTGAACTCACAACTCTGAGATCAAGACCTAAACTGACATCAAGAGACACTTACCCAACTGAGCTACCCAGGCACCCCAAGAATTCTGGTTCTTGAAAGTTTGCTTTATGCTTTCTACTACCAGCCTTTGATATGACTTTTTTCTTTCTTTCTTTTTTTTCAATGAGAAAACCCAACTGATGGATTATTTTGGAATCTCTCTCCTTGGCACCTGTGTCATTGCCAGTTGGGTGATGTTTGTTTTCTTTTTTTATATGGAGACTCCTTCATGCGTGAAATCTCTCCCTATTCTAAATCCAACTGGAAGCCCTTGAACCTGTGCAGCTCTTGGCAGAATCACTTCACAAGACTGACCTAGTGTATAGATGGCCACATAGGGAAAGATGACAGTTAGATTTAGGTTGTCTCCAGAAGAGCCTAAATCGACATGATGAAACTTTTCCTGTGGCAAATCCCCCTTTAGAGTGTTTAGTTTTTAAACTCAGATGACTTAAAAAAATTTTTTTGTAACCAGAGTGGGAGAAAAACCTGTAAGACATTCCTTCAATTTTCCTATAATTTGAAAATAAGTTTTGAGGGAAATGAGGACTTTGCAAGCCAAGTTTTAGTGCAAAGCGAACTGTCTAAACACCAGGAAATTGTACTGTGTAGGATGGAACCACTGATCTTCTCTGGATGGAGTCGTCTCTATGCACATCTAATCTGCCGCCAGGGAAATTCTGGGGAGGACTTTCCATTACTTGGGGAATTTTTGAAGCTAATGATAGGTGTTATTTTCTTCTTTCTAGACTGCCACAAGTTTCAAAATGTACTTAGAAAACTGGAATATTCAGACAGCTACTTGGCTAAAGCGGTAAGAAAAATAAAAAAAAAATGACCTCATTGCTCGTGGCACTGGGATATGTTTAGATGGGCGTCGCTAGATGAGCAGTAGTCTGCCAGGAGTAACGTGTCATCTGACACTTTTGTTTTGTATTAACATCTCTGCCCTGTAAATGGAAAAGTAGAAATAATGTGAGAGGGTCACAGCGTCGCATAGTTATTTTAGTGTATCAAACACCTAATAGTGCCCTTCTTGTGTAGCGGCCACTCGTGCAGTTCTCAGGGCACTTCCATAGGAGATGGTGGTTATCCCCAATTTACAGATGTGGAAAGTGAGACAGAGAGGTTATGACACTTGCTTGAAGTCACACAGCTAATGAGTACTTGATAAGAGCCCAAAGAGACTCTCTCCAGAGCCAGGCTTTTAAACCTCTGTGTTTTGCTGCCTCTTACCTATAGGAGATTAGGTCAGGGAAGGTCAATGTCAGCATCAAATCACTGAAGACCTCCATTTATCCCTAGCATTAACAGCTTGATGGCACCTTGAAGATTTATGTTTTTTTAACCTCACGTTTTTGTTCATATTTCTCTGTCGTTTATTTCCCTACACATTCCGAAACTGGAAACGTTACTTAATATGGAATTAATAATGTGCTATCCTTGAAGCAAAAAAAACTCTAGCTAGCGAATACTCCGATCATACGAGTGCAAGAAGAGTGTGAAACTATCAAGCTGCGGATTCTGTTTCCGATACGTAGCATTTTTCATAGGTCCCAACATCGGGGTAAGAGACAATATACGGTAACACTCCAAAGTAAACTCAAGCAGCGCCGTCTGAGAATTGACCGGAACATGCAAATTTTGGGAATTTGTACTTACTGCTGCTATTAATTTTACCAGTAAATTTAGCATAAACCTCTATTTCTTTTTTTGTTTGTTTGTTTTAATGTTTATTTATTTTGAGAGAGAGACAGAGTACGAGTTGGGGAGGGACAGAGAGAGAGGGAAAGAGAGTCCCAAGCAGGCTCCGCACTGTCAGCACAGAACGTGACCCAGGGCTTGATCCCGTGAACCGCGAGATCATGACCTGAGCTGAAATCAAGAGTCGGATGCTCAACCACCTGAGCCACCCAGGTGCCCCTAAACCTCTATTTCTGTATGTCAGGTAATCCCAATATCTCCATTGGGAATTTATGTTCTAAGATGACTGAACATACATAATGAGCACATAAAAAATGTAACAAATATTAAAAAATCATTTTAGAAAACAAAGTATCTTATTCATACAAAAAGATACAGAGGGTAAGAAACAAATACCTGTGAAGACTAGCCCATTTCAAAGAAACATCGGTTCTGTGTCTCTTTCCCCAAATGCATTCTCTTTCTTTGTGTGACAAGGAAGCCATAATCCTTAGTTTGGGTTCACTTCTGTTGCGTTTGACAATCCATACAGAGCTGGATTGGTGTTAACTGTTTGAATTTCTATTTTATTTTTTTGGGGGGGGGGTTCTATTGTTTAGTAAAGCACATAGTGGTTTCCTTATACTGCTACTGGCGATTTATAGATCGGATTTGGGAGAAAGTCCCCATCACTTAGTTTTAAGTAACCAAGAAGTCAGAGATCTCCAGGGTATTTGCTGACAGTTTCTAGGTTCTCACAGTGTCACTCTTTAAAGCGAATTCGTGGATTGAAATCCAAAGACACTGGGAGCGCTGAAAAGTCGTGTAACCGACACCTTGATTTTGTGCTGGAGTCCTTGCCAAGAGAGATGAAACGGTTTGCAGCGTGGGCTGGGTAGATGGCATGGAGGCCAGGTTGGGATTCATTTTGACTGAAGGAAGATACCCACTTCGAAAGACGCTATCCTGATCTGAAAAGTTCTAGTGCCAGTGGCACTGATCCATAAGTGTTCCCGGTAGATCAGGGCACTGGTGGAGTGTGCTTCTATGAGGCAGGAGCTCTTGCTGGGTGGAGTGACCGCTTGGACTTTTATTAGATCTCGTATGACGGGGCCTAGATCATTTAGTTCCGTGCAGTTTAAAACTTCCTATTCTACTCCCCAGACGATTGGACTACGAATTCCCTGTCTGGTAGCATTCAGGAAACAGAGCTCAGGCAGCTGGCATTGCATTGAAAAGCCCTGATAGGGGTAGGCATGTTCGCCATCCGTAATGGGTCAGATGATTTCTGTGTGGTCTGAAGGCACAAGTGTAGTTAGACGTTTCTGGTCCTCTGACTGATGGCTTGTCGTACCTTCCTCTCTTCATAGAGTGTGCTATGAGCGGGTTCCCTGGTACCCCACGGTGCTAACCTTTGTCCTGTCTGCCTTGTGGCATGGTGTCTACCCTGGATACTATTTTACCTTCTTAACTGGAACCCTTGTCACAGTAGCAGCCAGAACGGTAAGCTTCCTTTGGTTGTAGGATCTTTTCCCCAATAATCTGATGCCTGTATGTGTGTTACCTTCCGGTCTCAGAAGTAGGTGGGGGAGATGGGAGCGATACTTTGAAAACTCACCACACAACAGAAGTCTTCCTCTTAGAGAAATACTTCAGTATATAGGAATTTTTGGACTAACGAATGTTTCGTACCTTAAGAGATGAAAACATTTTTAATCATTAAGCGGTCTACCGATTACGATGCCTTCGTAATTGAGGCTCCACAGGCTTCATTCTGCTTGTACCCAACTCATTTTCTCATTTCATTACCGTAAGCTGAGAAACAATCCACCAAGTCTGTGCAGCCAGTAAAATTGTGTTGTTAGAGATCACTCTAACTTTTCACATGCTCATGCCTGATCCGATTAAGTTAGTTTGTGTGAAATTCTTTGTGAATTCGTTTGGGTAGCCTCCAGTTCGTCCTGGACTGTTCCTACTCTGTGCTGGTTGTAGAGTAGGATGCTAAAGAAACACAAACCCTGCCTGCCCTTAAAGAACGAAATGAACACGTATGTGAGTAATTGTAAATCAGGGTGTGCTGATTGTGCAGTAGAGTTTTGTATTTGATTTAATCGCAACCTTTGATAATGATTGTGGCCTTCCATATTTAGGTGCCAGGGATTAAAAAGAAAATTTTTTTAATGTTTATTTATTCTTGAGACGGAGACAGAGCATGAACAGGGGAGGGGCAGAGAGAGAGGGAGACACAGAATCCGAAGCAGGCTCCAGGCACCGAGCTGTCGGCACAGAGCCCGACGCGGGGCTCGAACCCATGAACCGTGAGATCGTGACCTGAGCTGAAGTCAGATGCTCAACCGACTGAGCCACCCAGGTGCCCCTGGTGCCATGGATTTTTAATGACATTTGTTAAACTGTATTTTGGATGTGAATTCAGGAGCCCCAGCGTAGCTATTCACGCTTTCTTTAATTCATGTATCCTGTGAGTGTTTCAGGCACTGGAATCCCGCAGTGAGCAAGAGTCCCTTCCCTGCAGAATACCTGTTTTAGTTCGATGAATGTGGGTTGGAATATGCGTGTGAACAAGAATAATTATTTTAAAAGTGCACTAATCAGCATGAGTAGTAACGTCTATATGCCACATATCTGTAAGTGGAAAACAAGGAACGCTGTGTCTTTTCTCCCATTCACATACCCCTTACATTATAAAAGCACAGAACAGATGGCCAGGACAAGCTAAAACAAAGACCGGAATTGTGCTCGTTTATATATCCAAAGTATTATTCCTGAAAATGCCTTTAGCTCTGTGATTTCAACTGGTATCAAAGCATTGATTTATGGAAAGCCTTTCTTTTGGGTGGCCTGGACATATTTTTCACAAATGAGGTAGGTAGGGGGTAGAGAGGGTTGATAGAACAGTATTTCCAGGAGAAGGAACTCAGGAGTTTGCTTTCTGATACTGCTTACACTCCCCAGGGGGTGGAGCTCTGACTGTCTTGAACTCGCCAAGAAGGAGTCTTTAGCTTACCCAGAGGCCCCCAGGAAGCCTCTCCTGCTTTGGGGCTAAGCTACCTGTAAGCCAGTCACTGTCCCAGCTGCACCTTTGGTTCTCAGATCTGGGAATTACATGTCTTTCTGGAGGCAAATCTAGTCCCATTTATTAAAAGACCTACAAATTAATTATGGAAAAGTTAGCTTTTCCATATTATATCACAGATTAATATTTTCGGCATGGAATATGGTTTTCGATAGAATCCTAAGAAAAAAAAAAAAGCCTAGAAAATAAAACCGTGCCATCAGTGAAAATATAAATGTGGATGTGTATGCATAGCGAGAGGCTTGGGAGGATATGTGCCAAGGTTATAAACAGTGCTTTTCGCTGGGAGAGATCAAAAGATAAAATTCTTTTTTGCTTAGTTCTTTGAACACTTGTCAACAGTGGACATAAATGTTTTTACAATAATAAAAATCATAATGGCATTTTTGATCACCTGTATTCCCAAGGTATACTGCCCCCCATGCATGGAATAAAAACTGTTTTTATTTTTTTATCCCTGGCTCTGCCTTCCTTGGCTTGCAGATGAGGAACAACTACAGACATTACTTCCTTTCCTCAAAAGCCCTCAAGGTTGCATATGATGTGGTCACCTGGGCGGTCACTCAGCTGGCCGTGTCCTACACTGTTGCTCCCTTCGTTATGTTAGCAGTTGAACCAACCATCAGCTTATACAAGTAAGTTTCCATCGTTCTCCATTGCCGTTTCATAAACTTGTCTTCTCTGCGTTTGGCTTGGGAGTCGGCAAATTGAATCCATCAGTATTAAGAATTTCTAAATATGGCTTCCACGTATCTTAAGTGGAGGAAACTGCCAAAATGCGAAATATGTGTCAACTTACAGCAGAAATGTCTGTGTTCAGCTCAAAACCATTTAATACCTTCTGGTTGCTGGGCACTGTCCTAGAAGTTAGGGATAAAATGGTGAGAAAAATAAAAGAAATCCTTCCTGGTGCCCTGGAGGGGATAGCTTGATAGAGGCAGCAGGCATTAAGATTGTACTCAGAGTGAATGACACTGATGAGGTTTTGGAGTGGTGGGGGTTGGTAGCTGATGGCCAAGAAAGAATTGTTGAAGATGTCTTTGCTGCAAGATGTGATTTTATCAAAGCACATGGACAGGCCCGGTGGGCAGGAACAGCTCTACTGGGGTTGTGAAGAGTGACTAGTTATATACCCTGGAGTTGGGGGAGGTAGAGTCAAAAGGAGGCCTCCAGAAGGCCTTTGGTCTGCTAAAGAGGACTCCTAGGATACCTGAGGCCTTGCTATTGTGAAGCTAAGGTTGTTTTTCCTCTAGTAAGGCATTTACGTTAGGATGGGAGGGGGTTCCTGGAGGAAATGTTCTACTCCGTATTTGCCTCAAGTATTTATCAATGGGCTGCAGGTTGTAAAGAAATTTAATTTTACCTGCTATTTCTTTCTTGCCTTTGTTCCCCATATCCCTATGGAGAGGAAGGTGATACCAGGGGCTCCAGGAAACAGAGTCTAGAGATAACTGGAGAGGAATCTGTTGATAATAAATTACCAAAAAAGGCCATCTTACGATATTTGTGAACTGAGGGGGATTCCCGTCCCGCACGACTGTGATCTCTATTAACTGCTTGTTTCCTTTCCTTGGTCTTTGGGCGGCCAGGAGTGTCTGAGGAATATGGCACATATCCCACCTGGGGGCGGGGCGGGGGCGGGGGTGCTGGCTTGCACTTTGCCCTCAGCTTGCCTTAATGCTCCCTCATCAGTACCGAGACTTAGGAGGGCACGTAACAGGAATCGGACTCAGACCGGACATCAAGGGTAGCTTTTGGGTGACAACGGCGTTCGAGCTAAGACCTGGAGGCTGCATGGGGGGGCAGCGAAACATAGTGTGTGTGGGGATGTGAGGGTGCTGGTCCAGGTGGAGCACTCTAGGGACTGTGCTCCAGACACAGGGAACAGCACTGAAAAGGCCCCCCGTGCTAGGAGGAGGTTCTGGGCACTGAAGCCCCAAGTGACCTGAGTGTTGGCAGAACCAAGAATCCATGGTAAATAGCAGTGAGCTGAGGGGAGAGAGTAGCTATCAGTATCCCTGTTTGTCGTAAGAGGAAGTGGAAGCTCAGAGAGGGTGATTGAACAAAACTCACACACCTCGACCTGAGTTTCAGACCTGGAGTTCCTTTATAGCAAGAACAGTAGCGCAGTCACGAAAAATGTCTTTACAAGCTATTCGGGCAGAATGTTACTGGTTGGAGATCATGCTAAATAGCGATGTGTTGGAGATAACGTGCGTTTAACCGACTAAAGTGTGCTGATTCCTACACTCAGGGGCTCTAGAGGAAGAGAAGCAAATAGCTACCAAGCCAGATCACCCAAGTAGATTTCCATCTATTTACGAAAACAATAATTCCCTGCCCAGATCAGCTCTGTCCAGAAGTTTCTACAGGATAGAAATGCTATCCGGTGTGTTAGTCATCGGCACGTGTGGCCGTTGAGTATTTGCAATGTGGCTGCGGTGACTGAGGAACTGAATTTTCAATTTTATCTACTTTCAATTAATTTGAATTGTAACAGCCATGTGTTGCCAATGGCTATCATAGATTGCATCTCACAAAGTGTTTTCAGCATCTCTTAAGAGAATCACTGAATCTGATGAAAGAAATGAAAATTGAATGTGCGGTTTTTTTTTTTGGGTTTTTTTTGTTTTTGTTTTTGTTTTTTTTTTTTAGCGGAGGTGGGTCTGGTTGCATTCCAGATCTGTTCCTCACTTGGGGCTAATTTCGGTGACTGGCAATGAATGGCAGTTGTATGCAAATCACTTCTCAGCACATCCATCACTGCTTAACATTTAAATTTCAGATGTGCTTTATTTTTAGGTCTAGTCGGTTTTCAATCTATGGTGACTTCCCATCTCAGCTTTAAATTCCCGTCTAATCTTTAAGTTGTGAATCCCAAGTAAATACTTAAATGTATTATGAAAGAACCTGTCTGAGCGCAGGATACTATGACTAAATATAGCCCGAGTGAGTTCTGCCACAAACATTTCCCTCGTTGAGGAGGCCGGGAAGTCCCAGGATCAAGGTGCTGGCAGATTTGGTTTCTGGTGAGTGCTATCTTCCTAGTTTACGGAAGCTGCCTTCTCTCCGTGTCCTCACAGGGTGGCAGAGCCACACAGGGAGAGGCAGCTTACACTCTGGTTTCACTTTATCTTCCTATAAAGGTACTAATCCCATCACGGGGCCCACCCCCAACCAGATTACCTCCCAAAGCTCCACTTCTCCAAATACCATCCCTTGGGAAGTTAGGGCTTCAATACATGAATTGGAAGGTTGGGGCACCTTTGGTCCATGGCTGGACCTTTTTGGGAACTCATTTTGAAAGGCAAATCCTTATCCACGAACTTGTCTTTAAGTAGAAGACACTTAAAAAATATATTTTAACATTTACTTATTGAGAGAGAGACACAGAGCAAGCAGTGGAGGGGCAGACAGAGAAGGAGACACAGAATCTGAAGCAGGCTCCAAGCTGTCAGCACAGGGGCTCGAACCCATGAACTGCAAGATCATGACCTGAGCCGAAGTCCGACGCTTGACTGACTGAACCACCCAGGTGCCCCAGTAGTGACACTTTCTTAAATTCAGTGTGTAAGGATGCCAGGTAGAGACCTCTTTTGCAGATAGCATCTCCTTGAGAGTGAGGACTATGCCTCATTCATCGGTGTATCTGGGGTACCTGGTTCAGAACTAGGGTGCTCAACAAATGTTGAGTTTTTCCATAATAAAGAGATGAAGTGTTTCTTAAAATTTTAGAAAAATACGGAATGGCAGAATAGGTTACTAAACTTTGGGAGGGGATTGAAATATTTTCCTTTTGACTTCCAAAATAATTGGCTTTAATCTAACATAACTGTTCCAGTGTAGATACGGCCACATGTGAAAGATTAAAGAAATTGCAAGAACAAAGCGTGGCTGGAGTGCCTGTTGAGCCGGTGTGTCTATCTATAGAACTCTTTTTCACTCTCAGTGTCCTGGTTTAGACAATAAATTAATTGTTTACTTGCCTGGGGCTGGTTAAATTATAGGAGCCTCCTTATCCCCGGTTTTGCTTTACATGGTTTCAGTTACCCGCAATTACTCTCTGGGAGCAAATGATCCCCTTCCTGATGTGTAATCAAAAGGTCAGTAGTAGCCTAATGTTACTAATTTTATCATCTCCCATCATCACAAGGGTGAGTACAGTACTATTGTACTGTATTTTGAGAGAGGAGACCATATTCTTATAACTTTTATTAGAGTAACATGGTTGTAGTTCTATTAATTTCTTTGCCTAATTTATGAATTAAACTGTATCATAGGTCTGTATAGGGAGAAACAGTGTATATAGGTTTCAGTACTGTCCACAGTTTCAGACCTCTACTTGGGGCTCTTGGACTGTGTCCTCCAGCTAAGGTGGGAGGGCGGTATCTGTGGTACCCTCACTCCTATATTCCTGTTGTTCCCCATTCCCCTGAAGGAAGGAAGGGCTTTGCCTTTTTTTAGGTCCTGGTTTAATGCTTTGTACATCCTAAGCAGTAAATGCTTATTGAGAGAATAAGTGAAGATGTATTTGCTTCTGTTAGAACTCTTGACTATTCTGTAGATGCTTTCAGGGAAATTTATTTAGGGGATGTGTGAATTAACCTGATTCCAATGGGTCTGAGAAGGATACATGAATTCGTTCTGGGTTTCTTGACATTATTTTCCTTTGATCTTCCAGAAGCATTGGAGAACGTTTAAGTTCAGCCTTTCCAAAAGGCTATAGAACAGTTGAACAAATGTGAGCTGTTTCTAATTACTTGCATTTACAGATATTTATTGTCTACGTTGTGCTCAGTGTGCTGAATGCCACATTTACACAATAGAAATGCACAGACTGAAAAAGCAGCACTTGTTTCTTATTAGTTTGGGTGAAAGCGATTTTCAGAGTCATAGAGCAGGTTTTGAAAATCTGGATTGGTCTGGCTCCTAACACACACAAGAACAACTCTTTACACTTGAGCATATCAGTTAAAGTGTAAGGTGCGTTTGTGTCTAGGGAACAGAGTATAGGGTTTGAATTGGGTCCTGTGTGTTCTTAGATTTCAAATCATTAGGGGTTTCTGGCTGTTACGGGATTAATGCTCTTAGTCTGATAAGGGCAGGGGGACAGTACTGTGTATCTATCTGTAGATGGGCTGATGGGTTTGCTGTGTTCAGTTCTATGCTTTTGGTCCATCCCTGGCCTACTCACCTACCAAAGGAGCCCCCCTTGGGGTGGATCAAGGCAAACTGGAATACAGATTGGCTACTGCCCAAAATTGTGCCTTCACTTGCTGGCCTGCAGGTGACGTAATCACACCCATGTGACTTTTCCCATTTGCATCCTTGTGCGAAATATAATTTTTGTGTTTTATTTTAGGTCCATGTACTTTTATTTACACATCATAAGTCTTCTGATAATACTATTTCTGCCAGTCAAACCCCATGCTCATATTCAGAGGCAGCCTCAGACTCTGAACTCCGTTAATAAGAAGAAAAAAGATTGATACCTCCAAGAAAAAGCTGAGCTTGTAAAACTGCAAAACATCGGAAAGTTGAGACCAAAAGGCTCAAGGGTTCTCCAGTGACTTAGAAGCAATGTTTACATGCATTTTTTTTTTAAGTGCAGGGAGAATTTTTATCAAGCCTTTTTAAGTCAGCCATGTCCAATTGATTTAATATTTCCTAGGACATTTGAGTGGTGTGGAGGTATGTGCAGAATGTGCCAGAGACCATGCAGTCTGGGCTGCTGGGTCTTTGCTTCTCTGGCACCATTTCCAGCCACGGGAGCCCATACATCTGCTCCGGAAGGCAGAAGGTGGTTGCTGACAGAGCTGATCTTCCAGAATATACCCAGATATGGTTGTTCCTTGGGAAGCCCCAGACCCTTTGACCACAGTGACGACACTCAGAAGACCACGGAGGAGAAGGAGCCGGCACAAAAGAACCAGGAGGACTTGCCGTGAACACTTGAGTGGATGGAAAGTCAGGCATGCCCTAAAGTAGGCTGTATTTTTTTTCCCCAAGAGATAGAACTCTTCCCTTTTTTCCTTCTGAACTGAGCCAAGATTGGAAATCAGTCTCCTATACTCCAGGAGTCTAGGAAGGGCTACTGTTTTCCATTTCACACACGCCATCTGTTTGCCCAGGGATGGCCCTGAGAAAACACCCAAATGTTTGCACCATCAAAGGCAGAATAAATAAGCCTTCTAAATAAGTAATTTGTTTTAAAAAAGTAAAGTTCCATAGAAGCTTGTTAAGAAGCAGCATTTTTCTCTTTGCTCACCTCATTTCGTGGAGGTGTTCATGATCTTGGTTATGATACACACACCAGCTGATTTTCACTTTTCTGGTTTTGCAGTTGATTAAATTTGACGATTTTAGTTGAATCATTGTATCGGAGAGCAGAAATGGAGGACCGTTTTCTATCCTTGTTATGAATGTGCTGTGGTTCCTTTTGGGGACTTCTATTGGATAATATTCTATGTGGGAGAAAGAAACATGGTATTAAATGTGCAAAATGATGAAACTGATAATAATAAATTATATGTTACAACAGTGTACCCTAAAGTAATGGTGAGAGAATTTGTTCCAATCACATGGCCCCCAATTGGTTTTTTACCAAATGAATGCTGTGTTTCTATATAAAGGAAGCATTCCTGAATGGAATGATTGCTTTTTGTTTCTGTGAGGGGTGACTCAGCATTCTGAAGCACGTGCCTTATATTTGTGTGTTTCTCTAAGTTTTAACAAATGCACATAGTTCAGGTTTTTAAGTTTTAACAAATGCACAAAGTTCCAGTTTTTACTTGTTTAAAATTTGACCTTTTATGACCTGTTCAATTTGTCCTCTACGTCAGGTACTTGGAAGGTTTTGGTTTTTGGTTTAATTTTCCTATCTTCATTCCCAACTTTGCAGGTAGGATTAACCCCCTTTCCCAGATGAGGAAACAGAGAATCAGGGGGAGGTTTGCTAAGTGCCCCCACAGTCACAGAGTTAGTGAAGGAGCAGAGATTAAAATCCAAATTCCAAAGCTTTGGACAGTTTGTAATTTCCAGGAGGTACCCTGCTGCTGCTTAGGGCAATGAAATGTGAAATGATGTGCTTGTCCCTTGAAGAGTTTGTATGGTGTTCATGGAGAATACTAGAACCTAAACTCTAGGCCTTATATGTAAGATAATGGAAGTTAAGAAATAGCACATTTTGGCCGGTGTCTGAGGCTCACCCCAATTTAACCAGGTAACCTTGGGGCAATACCACCTTGCTGGTCCACGAGGAATGTTAGGGGAGAGGGGATATGGGTACTTACAATCTATCAGGGTCTTTTTCCAACAGGAACATGTAGAGGTGCAAGACCAAGAAAAATGCACACCAGTAAAAATGATATAGGTCACCGTGGGCCCAAAGTCTTTGGAGTAATCCATATTACAGTGAAGTCTTTGAACTTTTCAATATGATTTATATTCCGGTTTCACTGTATCTAAATATCTTCATTTCTGAGAGAAGAATTTTGGTAACAAGAGGAGGGGTGATCACCAGGGTGACCATCCTGTTGTACCAGTGACTTTACTGACCCCTCAGTCATGGGGAAACTTGGACCATTTGGTCCCTCCAGTGTTTGCCGAGAATCAAGTATTCATTACAGAATGGAGTCAAAGTCAGGCCTTTGGAATCTGGGCTCATAGAGGCCTTATGTCAGACAGTGCTGGGCTCTTAGGCACATTTTTCTTATTGTGGGACTTTATTCAGTGCAGGCACTTTATTGTGCTTTGCAGATACTGCGTTTTTTGTTGTTGTTTTTACGATTTGAAGATTAATGGCAACTCTGTGTTGAGCAAGTCTGTTGGCAACATTTCTCCAACACCATTTGCTTACTTCGTGTCTGTCTCAGCTTGGTGATTCTCACGATATTCCAAACATCTTTGTTATTTTATATTTCTTATGGTGATCTTTGATGTTACTATTGTGACTGTTTTAGGGTGCCATGAAGCACACCCATATAAGACAACAAACTTAATTGAGAACTGTGTGTGTTCGGACCTCTCCACCAACCAGTTGTTCCCCCAACTCCCCCTCTCCTCAGGCCTCCCTATTCCTGAGACACAATATTGAAACTAGGCCCATTAATCACCCCACAATGGCCTCTGAGTGTTCAAGTGAGAGCAATAATCACACATCTATCACTTTAAATCAAAAACTAGAAATGATTAGACGTGGTGAGAAAGGCATGTTGAAAACAGGCTAAAAGCTAGGCCCCTTGCGTCAAACAGCCAAGCTGTGTTTCAAAGAAAAAAGTTCTTGCAGGAAATTCAAAGTGTTACTCCGGTGAAACAGGAATGATAACAAAGCAAAAGAGCCCGGTTGCCAGTATGGAGACAGTTTTAGTGGTCTGGATAAAACAAACCAGCCACAGCATCCCTTACGTCAAAGCTTCATCCAGAGCAAGGCCCTAAATCTCTTCAGTTCTATGAAGGCTGAAAGAGGTGAGGAGATACAGAAGGAAAGTTTGAAGCTAGGAGAAGTTGGTTCGTGAGGTTTAAGGGAAGAAGCCGTCTCCATGACATCAAAGTTCACGGTGAAGCAGCAGGTGCTGATGTAGAAGCTTCAGCAAGTTCTCCAGAAGTTCTAGCTGAGGTAGTTAATGAAGGTGGCTATGCTAAACAGTCTTTTACTGGAAGAAGATGCCATGTAAGGCTTTCAGAGCTGGAGAGAAGTCAATGCATGGCTTCAAAGCACGGCTGGCTCTTGTTAGGGGCTAATGCAGTGGGTGACTTCAAGCTGAAGCCAATGCTAGGTCCCTTAAGAATGACGCTAGATCTACTCTGCCTGCCCTCTATAAATGGAAGAACAGAGTCTGAATGACAGCACATCTGTTTACAACATGGTTTCCTGAATCTTTTAGGCCCACAGTTGAGACCTAGTGCTTGGGGAAAAAACGATCCCTTTCAAAATATTACTGCTCATTGACGGTGCCCCTGGTCACCCAAGAGTTCTGATAGAGATGGACAGAGATGAATGGTGTTTTCATGCCTGCTGACGCAACATCCATTCTGTAGCCCATGGATTAAAGGGTAATTTTGATTTTTACGTCTTATTAATACATCTCCTAAGGTATAGCTGCTATAGATAATGATTCTTCTGAAGGATCCAGGCAAAGTAAACTGAAAACTTTCTGGGGTTCTCGTCCAAGATGGTGACCTAGGAAGACCCCCTTCCTCCCCTCCTCCATGGATACAGCAAATCTACACCTGTTTACAGAGTAGTTCCTCCTGAAGAAGAACTGGGGGCTAAGCAGGTTTTGCGCAGGTAAAGATAAGCCATGTAGAGAACAGCAAGAGAGATGGGAGACATGGCAATGAAGGGAACCCCCCATCCCCAATGCTGCAGACGGCAGTGGGGAGGAATAGTATTGAGGGATCGTGAGCAGATTCATCTGATGTGATGTGGGGCACAGAAAAAAAAAGCCATGGTTTAAAAGGGCAACTAGAATAAGAATATAAAGGAACTGCCCTAGAACCCTGCAAATGGCTGGCGAGTTTCTGGAACTTTCTCCAGGTTGCAGGGGCTGACGAATACCATGGTTTATGTTCGCCTTCCTTTTTTTTTTTTTTTTAAAGTTATTTAAATAAGTTTATTTATTTTTGAGAGCAAGTGAGCAAGCAAGCATGAGCAAGAGAGAGGCAGAGAGAGAGAATCCCAAACAAGCTCTGCACTGCCAGTGAGGGGCCCAACGCCGGGCTCAAACTCATGAACTGTGAGATCAGGACCTGAGCCAAAATCGAGAGTCAGATGCTTAACTGAGAGAGCCACCCGGCACTACTGTTTTCCTTCCTTCTTGACAGTGCAGATGACAACAGGGTTCTGGTACCATAGCTGGCCCGCCGACTCAAAGCCCTGGGACCCTAGCCCACACCAGCCCCAGATGCTCTGGGGCACAGAAAAAAAGTGGTTTCAAAGAGCAACTAGAATGGAAGAGATCCAGCCCTAGACCTCTTCCAAATAGCAGATCTTCTGGAACCCTATCCAGGTTAGAGGGCCTGGGGAGCACCATGGTTTATGTTTACCATGTACCGTGATAGTGTAGATGGAGGGAAGGTTCTGGGCACCACAACTGGCCAGCCACCTCAGTGAGCCCTGGGTGCCTAGTTCATACCAGCCGCAGATACCCTTGGGCACAGAAAAAAAAGCCATGGCTTGAAGGATCAACTAGAATATAAAGGAGCTAGCCCTAGAACACTGCCAAATGGAAGGGGAGCTGATGGAACTTTCTTGAGGTCACAGAGGCTGATGAGCACCTTGGTTAACTTTCCTCCTCCACCCTGATAGCATGGGTAGGAGCAGCGTTCAGGTCCACCCTCGCCAGCCTACTGCCTCAGTGAGCCCCAGGCATCTAGCCCACACCAGCCCCAGCCATCCCACCAAGGTGGCCCCAGCATGGTACACACCAGGACACCCCTAGTCAACGCAAACTACAGCTTTAGCCATCTCACCAAGGTAATACAGTCACAAAGCATCCCAGAACAATCCAAGCCTATCTGAAAGGGAAAAAAACAACCCTACCTACAACCAAGAATACTCTACCTGGCAAAGTTATTCAGAATTGAAGGAGAGGTAGAATTTCTGAGACAGACAGCAATTTTAAATGTTCATCACCACTCAATTGGCCTTAGGAGAAATGTTAAAGGTACATCTTTAAATGGAAAATAAAAGGACATAATTAGGAGAAAATTATAAATAAAAAGATGTAAAATGGAACAACATATACATAAAATGTAGAGTGGGGAGTGAGAAAGGGATTATCAATTTAATATAGATTACTATGTACTTAGGATGTTACATGTGAACCACATGGTACCCTAGAATATATATACAAAAAACAGAGAAAGTAGTAAAAACATAACACCTACAGAAAGTCAGCAGTCATAAGGAGAGATCAAGAAACTTAGAAAAACTACAAAAAAATGAAAGAGTGAACAAAATGTAGCAAGTACGTATCTATCAATAATTACTTTAAATGTAAATGGCCTAAATGGTCCACTTAAAAGACATTACTTTATCAACGTTTTATTTATTTTTGGGACAGAGAGAGACACAGAATGAACGGGGGAGGGGCAGAGAGAGAGGGAGATACAGAATCAGAAACAGGCTCCAGGCTCTGAGCCATCAGCCCAGAGCCCGATGCGGGGCTCGAACTCACGGACCGCGAGATCGTGACCTGGCTGAAGTCGGACGCTTAACCGACTGCGCCACCCAGGCGCCCCAAAAGACATTACTTTAAATGTAAATGGCCTAAATGGTCCACTTAAAAGACATAGGGTGACTAAATGGATAGAAAAACAAGACCTTCTATATGTTGCCTAGAAGAGACTCACTTCAGATTTAAAGACACAAAGTAAAAAACCAATGTAGCAATATTTATATCAGAAAAAATGGACTTTAAAACAAAGTCTGGGGGCGCCTGGGTGGCGCAGTCAGTTAAGCGTCCGACTTCAGCCAGGTCACGATCTCGCGGTCCAGGAGTTTGAGCCCCGCGTCAGGCTCTGGGCTGATGGCTCAGAGCCTG